TATAGTACTCCAAAGAGGGCAGATATAATCAGAAAGGAAAGAACAATATTTCCAGAATTTGTTATATGTCAGATTTTGCCATGTAGGAGCATATTCAAAAGAAGAATACAAAGGGTAAAGATCAATTTATGGGGAAAGTCATTTTAGAAAAATGAGCCCCCAAATTGTACATCTCCCAATATTTGACTGATAGAATCTGAGTCTACTGATTTTATATTTGCTTTATAGGGTAAACTTTATTTGCAAAATTAAACAGAAGCAACTCATGGAAAGAAACACAGACATTTATATTGAATAAAACAAAGATGGATACTATATCCATTTGACCATCCATCCATGGCAAAATCTAGATCAATATTTATCCAGACCATTGTAGAAAGTCAGCACCCACCCACCCACCCTCCTAGGGAAACAAATATTTTTGGGAATATTAAAAAGACAGGATAGAATATTTCCCCTAAAGGAGAAATGGGAAAAATATTAAAGGAGGCTGAAACCAGCACCAGATTCCCTGCCCCAAACAGAAACTGAGGAGGTCAGCAGATTTGATAATCCATTCAGAAAGACTGGGTCAGACAGAAACTCCAGATAAGCTATTAAGCAAGACAAGATTAGCTCAGACAAATACCTAGGATTTGCATTTACCCTTTTGCCTATAGAGCCAGCCATGATCCCTACATGACTCCATAGAAATCAAAAAGGTATAAAAACCCTCCCTACTCTCAATTCCATTTTGTCAGCTGTCCCAGAACTGCACACTGTATATGTGTTGTTCTGTTCACCAATAAACAGACTCTTTCTTCCCAATCAGCCTCCATTTTATTCCCAGCTTGAAACTGAACCTGGATTTTAAATCCAACACCATGTTGCCTGGGGAATCCTGGGAGTTAAAGTCCACATATCTTAAAGTTGCTAAGATTGAAAAACAGTGCTCTAGATGATTTTTAGAACAATTTTTATTTTAAAAAATTTAAACAAGGATAAAAACTAATACAAACTAATAGGCAGTAACCAAGGGAAAAGAAGGAAAGAAATTAAAAAGCAAAAATTTCAGAAAGGAAAAAACTTAAGAAAAATAGAAAAGGAAGAAAAAAGTATACAGTGACTTCTGATATTCTTCACAGCAATTACAAGTGCAAATATAGTTTAACATATCTCTAAAGTTACACCGTATTAGTCTTCTTTCTATAATTTATTCTGTCTAATCATCAAAACTGTAAATCATAAGTTCATTTTTTTCATTTTTATGCAAAAATCTATAAGAGTTTTCCAGTCAGCAATAAATGTACACAATGTCTTTTTCTTTAACCAAATAAGTTAATTTATTCATTTATCCATTTCAGCAAATTCTGTCAACTACATCAACTGTTCTCCAAAGGGGGAAATTTCTTTACATACTATAATCTTGCTGCTGTGATCATATATTGTAATAATCTTCCATGGCTTTTCATTAATTCTAAAAAGAAACGTTTTGACTCCATTTGAATATTGAGCTTTCAAATCCTCTGTATGAAATTACATATTTGTATCCATTTTTTTTTGTTTTTTTACATGTTCATCAAGCATGATAAAATCTCCATGTCATTTACATTTCCAACATGCATTTGAAATGCCTTTAAACATTCTAGATAATTTTTCTGTCGCCATGTACCAATAATACATCATTTTATTTTTTTAAAAATGCTTTGAGATCATAACACAATGTAAATTTCATCTTTAACTACATATTTTCTCCTTGATCCACTTATATAATAACCAAAATTCTTAGCCCACTTTAATCATATATTCTATAACTAAATCTCAATAAAACATTTTACCAATTATATGCTCATCATGAATACCAATTGGCATTCCAAAGTCTGACTTACTCTGCTCCATGCCACAAGTCTTTATTTGAAATTATTAACATATATATTATTCTGCTATTAATTGTTCTCTTGATTTGATTTTATATTCCCCTTGGATATTAATTTTCAAGTAAGTCCTGGTATATCAACCATTTACTTTTATTGGCCATTTCTTTTCTGTAATATGCTTTTTGAGCTGAGATCCACAAAGGTGCTTTTGGACACAATCTGAGTTTATATCTATTCCATATTTTCAATATGGCATGTCTAATAAAATAATGTTTGAAGTCCACCTTAATTTTATCAAGCCATCCAAACCTAAGGTCATGAACTTCTAACTCTAAAAATCTCTCTTTTCTTAGTATATCCATTCTTTCATTTAGAGCAAACAACAAGCAGCGCTGAATATGCTGCAGAAGATTTCCAAGTATTTGGTTTTTCCCCAAAGACTTTAAGGTCTGGCTAGGGATGCTATTCCTGGGTCCCCAAAATCACTACCACTTCTGCCTTGACTTTATCACACTGAGTTATTATAGTTAACATATTTTCTAATGGGATTTTATTAATTTGCAGAGGTCGTTTATAGTTGTGTGAACTGGATTTCGTTGACTGACAACACTTGTGTATTGTATTTACTAACATATATTTACTAACATACATACATCTTTTTCAGGCTAATGGCTGATTATATTAATGGGTAGATTTATAAACAATTCCTCACATGTTTATGCTTGCTTGTGATACTTTCTGCATGGATCCCAGAGATGGATTGCATAAATCTAAATAACTATTAGATACAAGCATCTAAGAAGATATTTTTCTCTATCTCTTGGCCGCCATCTAGAAGTCACCTGTAGCTGGGTAACTCAGATCAGGTACCCCAGAAGAGATAAAGTTGAGGGCTGAAGAGAACTGGGGCTACAGACTGAGCCATGTATTTATATTAATCACTTGGCGAATGCAAGATGAAATGATAACCTCCAATTTTGTAATAGACATAATTTATCAAATACTGATGATAGAACTGTAATGGCAAACCTATGGCATGCATGCCAGAGGTGGCACGCAGTGCCATTGCCAGCTGCTTTTCTGTGTGCGCCGGCCTGCTGATCTTTGCACGTGCTATAGCCCCAGAAACCTCGGGTTTCCAGCGCTCCAACACACGTGAAGACCAGCTGGCCGGCATTGCCTGCACGTGCCGGAAACCAGAAGACCAGCTGGTTTCGGGATTTCAGGTTTCCAGGGCTGTGGCGTGCGTGGGTGCACATGCGCACATGTTCCAGTTTGGTCACTTGGTGCTGTAAAATTTCGCCATCACTGTGCTAGAACTTTCATTATATATCCACCCATGGAATGTTATCTAGTACTTTGTGATGTAGTGGTTTAGGCAGTGGTTCTTAAACTGGGGGTAATTTGGGTATTTCCTGGGGAGAATGGAGCAATTTGTTGATGCTTGTTTGTGAGTGGAAGGTCCAGTTTGAGACTGCTGTCACTGAGATGCTTGTATAAAACAAAGGATGTCAGAACTGAAGAAGCTTCTTGGATGAGCAGCAAAACGTCTTCAAGGGAAAACAAAGTCCAGTTGCCTTTTGAAAAAACACCTTTGGGACAATCATGACCTAGATGCCCGAGAATCTCCATAGACATGAGGGAAGGGAACTGCTCCTGAGTTCCTGAAGGAAATAGAGACCTAATCTAACAAACAAATGAAAAAGAAATAATATGCTCTGTACTAGGCCCCATAGGTTGTGTGTATAGATGTGCTTAAAGAGGTAGCAGTTGAGGACATTTTCTCTACCATGTTGTCATTTGGACAGCTTTGGTTAGTGACTAATTATTATGTCAGAATTAGCAAGTCATATCATTTGGGGGCAGCAGCAGTAGTCCACAGCAGCTGGCTGTATTTCTTGGGAACCATTCTCTAAGACCCAGTGAAAAAGGAAAGCAAGCAAGCAAACAAACAAAACTAGAAGCTTCTCTGGATCAATAGTCTGTATGTTATCAGGGATGCTAAAGTTTACTCTCCCTTTTCCTCTTTCTCTCTAAGCTCTCTGGCCTTTTTAAGTTAGCATCTTCTCTCTGCAGGTAAGGAAGGGCACCACAAACAGGAAGCTTGTTATGTATTCCTTGCATGTCTAACTGCAGAACCAATTGTAAGCTGCTGAACTCAAGCCCTCCCCCCGCCCCGTCTCCCCACTGGGTTCAGTAGAGGTTTACCTCAAACTGTGAAAATGGATGCTTCATATTTCAACTGAAAGGGGTGAATCAAACAAGGCCTTCTCCATATACAGATCCATGTTTCCAAACTGATGCCAGTCATTCTGTAGCGTTGGAAATGCTTCACACACCTGGCTGGTGATACATCCAGGTCTGCCTTATGGTCATTTTCCTAATATGGCTCGCACACACACACACACACACACACACACACCCACCCACACACCCACCCACACACACACACACGCACGCACGCACGCACACACACACACACACACACGGGGGAGAGGGAGAGAGCTATGATCTCAATAGAGCTTTGATGGTTAAACCTATTTGCATGAGACATCATTCTTCCGTCCCTGTAATGCAATGTAAGAATTCAGGAAATGCTGAGCTATAGCACAAGGTCTGGGAGAAAGGAGCTATTGGATATCTATGAATGATAGATGACACTAAAACATGAGGCATTTCAAAGGAATCGGTAGGATTAAGATGTGGACTTCTATAGGACAGCTAAAATAAAAATTAAGCTGCTGGGGCTATGGTTTAAATTGATACGTCTTTATGATTTTGGGTAATTATGAAGTGGAAATGTAAAAAACAAACAAACCCAAATCTAACATCAAGCTTGCATGTGTTTTTGTTCCATTTTGTGCATCTAAAGATTGTAAGCTATCTCTACCATTTTGCATTCAGAAATATTGCCTTAAAAACCTTCCATCCCCAAGGGATTCTCTTAGCAATTCAAAACAGGAGGAGGGAGGAGGAGAGCGAAAGAGTGAGGGCAAGAAAGGAGCATCTCATTGCCTCCGATGACTTTGTGTTGGCATCCAAGGGGTTAAGTATAACAGTTGAAGGCTGCAAGCTTGTCAGGGTTGTACTATTTTTCTAAGGCATAAGAAGAAGGGAGGTTAGGAGAGAGGAGGCAGTGGGGAAATCCAACAGAAGTCGATCTGCAGCTAAGCTTTCTAGACGGTTGGGATTGATGGGCATCCAGAAAAAGGACAGGTCAGCTGCATGAAAAAATATCCCTCTCTTAGGAACTCGGATGAAAGAGCAGGGTTTTACTTGCCTCCCCTGCCTTCAATCTTGCATCCTGGCTGCGAGGAAGGAGGGCAGCTGTCATCTGTGGAGGATTGGAAGCCAGGGAGTTTCTCCTGGGAAGGAGAAAGCCTTCGGTTGTTCTTATGAACAACAAGAATTAAAAACCGTGTCCAGAGAGAAGAGGGCGGGATAGCAGCCTGTGGCTCTAAGGGCACTGAGCATCCCTTCCCCTCCTAGAAGTCCAACCAGAGGCAGCAGGACTGGTGATGCAGCATCCAGCGAAGGGCAGGGCAACCCCAGGAGAGGGGCTTGGGGGCTGAGAACTTGAGAGCACATGGGATATTCTTCAGGTGCTCAGAAGCAAAACATCCCCCCGGTCATGTCCTGCATGCCAAATGAAGTCCAGTGCTTCTTTGATGGGAACCCAGACGCAGCCGGCTGAGCAACGCATGGCAGAGCCCACGATGCTCTGTTTTTTCCCCTGAAAAGGAAGCTCAGCGGAGACTTCACTGCAGCGGACTCTGCAACAGCAAACAGCACAGATGCCAAATGGTGTGTAGACTCCTGCCACTGCAATGTGAGTGTGTGTGTGTGTGTGTGTGTGTGTGTGTGTGTTTGTCTTTGGATATGCATGGTGTGTAGGGAAGAGGGAGAGATTTTGAGAAAAAAAAGGTGTATCTATTTTTCATGCTGTCACAATTGTTTCTCTTGTTTTAACCCTGAATAACGAGAGCCTGTAATGTAACTCAGTGAGCAAAGGGCTGCATTTAACAACTGAATCTTTATCAATGCTGTTTTGTAGCCCTTCCAGTTTTAGCAAATAGCTGGTTTCCAAGCAATGTCATACTTCTTGAGGACACCGGGGACATCATGTTTTTGCTGAGTATGGGATCTTCCCACTATAATAAAGAGAGGTTTTTAGTTCATATAGACACTGACTTAAAGAAAAGAGTCCTCTCTTTTATTAAGCAACCCCTACTTTAGTATTAGACCTAGCTTCTACTTTCAAGACCCTTCCTTCCTTCCCTCCCTCCCTCCCTCCCTAACTCAACATATTGCCAGAGGGAACTTAGGAGACTCTTGGAAACACAAATCTCTGTATTTCTCTCTAAGGTCAGATAATCAGTGTCAGAGACTGAGGCAATGTGGATTGTTTTTCCTTAGCTGTTCTTTCTTTGGCAATGACAGAAGATGAACTTCTATTCAGAACTGCAGCAAGAGCACAGGGAGAGCTTGCAAAGACAACGGATAGAGATAGGAAGAGAAGGAGGCTGGGTTGTAGAACTGAGAAGTTAAAATCTAGACTGCGCTATGTTAATGATGCACTCCAGTGTTCGACATAACAGTTTAACTCAATCTCTAAACCACCAGGCCAATTCCTCAAGGTGAATGCTGAGTCTCAGGTGCTGTGTGGGTCATCTTACTGCTATAGTGCAGGGAATGAAGCCTGATAGGGCTTTGAAGCAATTAGAATATGCTGCGATGTTTGGGATAAACAATGCTATTATTAGCTACTTGCCAATTAGAAAGCTTTCTGTATTTCATATGATATCTTTATTTTCTTAAATGATACAGATTTGACATGATTTGAGATCAGAGGCCTTCTTCAAGTTATACAGACCAAATAAATCCAATTGAAATTTTGTACATGGAATGCACACAGACACAGATACAGATACAGACACAGACACAGACACAGACACAGACACAGACACAGACACACACACACACACACTTGGCTAAGAGTGTGAGAAAAAAGGCTTATATTATTCTTTCTTTCTTTTTCAGCTGAAAGACTATTTTCACGAACTCCCTGTTTTCATGAACTACATCAAAGTCCATGTGCATAACTTTACGGTGGATATTAGAATCTCAGTGAACACCACTCAACCACCAGATATTCATAAAAGTTTTGATTAAAACTGCCTAAATATGACTGTTGCTACTGGAGATCCCACAGATGAAGCAGCAGCTTTGCCTGGTCATCCTCAGGACACTTATAACCCAGAAACTGATCATGAATGTTGTGAGAGAGTGGTTATTAATATCTCAGGCCTTCGGTTTGAAACACAACTTAAGACACTTGCTCAGTTTCCAGAGACCTTATTGGGAGATCCGAAAAAGAGAATGAGATATTTTGATCCTCTCCGGAATGAATATTTCTTTGACAGAAACAGACCCAGCTTTGATGCTATTTTATATTACTACCAATCGGGTGGCAGACTGAGAAGGCCCGTTAACGTACCCTTGGACATCTTCTCAGAAGAAATAAGGTTTTATGAACTTGGTGAAGAAGCGATGGAGATGTTTCGGGAGGATGAGGGTTACATCAAGGAAGAAGAACGCCCGTTACCAGAAAATGAATTTCAGAGACAAGTATGGCTTCTCTTTGAATACCCAGAAAGTTCTGGACCAGCCAGGATTATAGCAATTGTCTCAGTCATGGTCATCCTAATCTCTATAGTAAGTTTCTGTTTAGAAACTTTGCCCATATTCCGTGATGATGCTGAAGACATGCATGGTAGCAGTAGCAACCCCAGCCCTTATTCCAACAGCACAATGGGGTCTCAACAGCAAACATCTTTCACAGACCCCTTCTTTATAGTAGAAACACTCTGCATAATTTGGTTCTCCTTTGAATTCCTGGTGAGATTCTTTGCCTGCCCTAGCAAAGCTGGTTTTTTTACCAATATCATGAACATCATTGATATTGTTGCCATTATTCCGTACTTCATCACACTTGGCACAGAGCTGGCTGAGAAACCAGAAGACGGCCAGCAAGGTCAACAGGCTATGTCTCTTGCTATCCTTCGAGTCATCCGCTTGGTGAGGGTGTTCAGGATCTTCAAACTTTCCAGACACTCCAAAGGATTGCAAATCCTGGGACAGACTCTTAAGGCCAGCATGAGGGAGCTAGGCCTCTTGATATTTTTCCTCTTCATTGGTGTCATCCTGTTCTCCAGCGCTGTCTATTTTGCAGAGGCTGATGAGAGGGATTCTCAGTTCCCAAGCATCCCCGATGCTTTTTGGTGGGCTGTGGTTTCCATGACGACAGTTGGCTATGGAGACATGGTCCCCACGACCATAGGTGGAAAAATAGTTGGCTCCTTGTGTGCCATTGCAGGTGTATTAACAATTGCCTTACCAGTGCCGGTTATAGTGTCCAATTTCAACTACTTCTATCACCGTGAGACAGAAGGAGAGGAGCAAGCTCAATACTTGCAAGTAACCAGCTGCCCAAAGATCCCTTCTTCCCCTGACCTAAAGAAAAGCAGAAGTGCCTCCACTATTAGTAAGTCTGATTATATGGAGATACAAGAAGGTGTGAATAATAGCAATGAGGACTTTAGAGAGGAGAACTTGAAAACAGCCAATTGCACCCTAGCTAACACAAACTATGTTAATATAACTAAAATGTTAACCGATGTTTAGCTAATAAAAAGGAGGGGACCCTAATAATATACTTAAAATTCAAGTGGAACATTTGCAGATGTTGCATAATACCTTGCACTGTAGTTAATACAATATGTTCTGCAACATGTATTGGTTCTGCATGGAAAGCAATAGTTGTGTAAGTGACTCTTTTTAACACTGAATGCTGAATAAGCTTTCATGCAATTTTTTTCTAATACAGTTTTCTGGGTTTCCAAATATATCAAACATTTAAGGCAAAATTATGTCACAGTATCAGATGAATGGCATTGAAGAAAAACAAAACCCACAACCTCTTCATGTTTCCAACAGTTATTCACAGATGCCAACTAGCTAAACATGATTTAAAATATAGAAGTCAACCCATGCAAAAGAATATTTATTCCAAGGAAATAGTATGCAACTATATAGCTTTCAAGCTTCAGAAATTATACAAAAGGTCATGCATGGTTTAATTAAAGGAAATATTTCTCCAAATTACTTTTTAAAGTTCAGGTTTTCCAGATCAGAAATGCCAGTGAGAGACTGTACCATGCAGGTTATGCTTCTGAACCAAAAATGCTGCATTGGATACATCTACTGCAGCATGTCAGTGTGAGGATTGCAGGAGGCACTGTTTGGTAGGAAAAAAAATGTTGTTGTTGTTGTTATTTCTTTAGTTGAGACTCATCAGGATCCTGGAGACATTTGTTTCTTAAAAAGCATACATTTTTGTTAGGTTTGTTTTTTGGGGTGGGGGTCACCTACATATGCAGAACTGAAAAGCATATTGTTTCAAATGCTGGAGCAAATAAGCTGTGGCCTAGAATATATTTATTCTGCAGAGACATTTAACCAGTATTACAGTACAGCTGCATGGATATTTGTTGCATGGATCTTAATATTTATTACATAAAATATATCTATTTTCTTAAGTAGACTATAGAGTATACTTGTTTATAGTGATTCTAGATTGTCCAGTGGCTTGAAGGAAATTCATGGACATTAAAAAAAAGAAAAGAAAAGAAAAACTAAAGCAATTGAGTTGAAGGATGTATGCTGACCAGTAATGTGATATGCAAGAAAAATGCCCAAAATGTTTGCTTGCTTGAGTAGGCAAACCAACTAAGGTAATATGAATCATATACATCACATATATATTGAGAAACTGGTAATGGATTCATTGTGATGTCATATATAGAGACATGGCTGACCAGAAATGAGGAAAAATATTTGTAATGAAAGGATCTCTGGTGAGAGTGTCAAACAAATGTTAACTAAACATTTGATATCTAAATATAAAAGATTGGAGCACACAGAGATTGCTTGAAGTATTTAACTGTGCAGAACCTTGAGATTCAAAAGTAAGATGCAAAGGTACAGCATACCTTCCTCTCAATCTGCATAAAATCTGGTATTTAGCATTTTCATAAGAGGATGGGTTTATGCAATAAAGCCAGCCCAAGGCAATTCATTTGGGTACAGAATAGCTTTCTTTCGAAAATGTCCTAATAGAGCTGCACCACATGGCTATAGCAGAGGAAGAGTTGACCATATCTTAATATGTGCCAATGTGCAGCTTGAAAGTTGATGTTTCCTTTGGAATGTTCTCATGCAATGGATTCACTGTTCTCAAAATTAGAGTAAAAACGGTCCATATTTGGCTCTTAGAATCTTTGGAAAAAACACCCAAGTGTAATGTGATAAGAGAACTTTGGCCAACTTCACACCTCAAGCTGGATTAACTGCTTTCCATTAAGGAGGCAACGGCTTCTTCTACATTGACTTCTCTTCGTAGGTTGGCATCTTGGATTTGTACCCTGTTGATGCTGCAGTTGCAACCCTCAAGGGGCTGGATAGTTCTTCAATAAAAGGCAATTCTGCAATCAACGTTCCAGGAAAGATGCATTTGCAACAAATAACAATAATGAGATAATAATGCCTGTGAGCAAATCCTCTGCTCATCACTTGCAAATCCTATACTGCCTTGTGTGATTTGACCCTGAGGTTGTTTGAAGATTCATGACAACCCCAAATTCTAAGCTGCTAAACATTTACCTACATACATTGCATTCACATATCTTTGATGCTGGTTTAGACCTTAGAAAATGGATTTACAACAACTGAAATTCCCAACAAGAAAAGGCAGTTAGATCCTGTAAGTGATTTGGGGTTTGCTTTACTGATCCTATTCCTGCATTGTCATGAATGAATGCAGTAAGGACTAAATCACATATCGAAAATATGAACTGAGTGCTCTGTAAAGAATTTAACACATGATAAAGAGGTTGCATAGGTGTTTATGCCAGAAAACCAACTTGCTAACAGCCCACTCAGTTCACATTTACCTATTGTGCTACGACTCAGCTCATGTTCCACAATTTTGCATGGGGAATATAGATTCATCTGCAAACTGGATATGTGCCAAAATAGTCATTCTGATTGCTTATACAGTATGTGTGTTAAACTCTGTACAAATCCATGCAACCTGCATAATCAACAAGCTATTTGGTTGAGTCTGAGTGATATCTGTTTTTATGCCAAGAGGGAATATATCAGAACAATCTGATTTTAAATAGATTTTAAGAAATATATAAAATAGGTTTTACTGTTCCAGGAAAGACTTTTTTCAGCCTATAAGAAAGCTAACATTGAATATAGCTGAATCTGTCTATTGCTGAGTATTGTTTAAATAACAGTTGCTAAAACGTTGTTTATAACCGTAACAAAAGTTTTTCCTGAAAAAATCTGGACAAAACTCAAATTTCTTGGTCTTTTTCCTACTCCTACTCCAGCCAAAAAAAGGTTATTCCATTTCATTTTGTCATGAAGACTGGAATAAAATAACTGAATAATATAAGAAGCCTTACCAACTATAAAAAGATCAGCAGTGGTGGTGTTTATGAGGTAGTTTTGGTTTACCCTTTATGTTAATGGTAATAACATGGACCATTATTACAGGACAGTGACGAATACCTTTGCATCACATCTCTCAGAACCTCTGTGTTAAATATGCCATGAATTTAAAAAAAGCTAAGTTTGGAATATCCTTCATTGCAGTGAGAAGGAATAGAGTAATCCTTCCTGTTGCCTCAGGCTACTGTCAAAAATATTCTGTCTTTTCCACTGCGCCCCCCCCCCCCAACCCTAATAAGGGAAGAAATATACTTGGTTAAAGATTCAAACTGGTCTGTGCTCTACAACAGAAAATCTGTCTGTGCAAAAGTGTAGGGGAAAAGATTATATCAGGAATTCTCACTGGGTTTCGTTCACATGTCAATATGGAGTAGAGTTCCTGCGGTTTCAGAGAACAAGAAGAGGTCATATTTGTAATAGAATTATGAGAAGGAAGTCCAGTTCCACAGAAGGGAAAATCTTTACAATCCTGATTCCGATACTATATTAGATAAACTCTTATTTCACTGAAATTCCCATTTTACTGAAATTCATTTGTTTCAGTATTTGATTTTGTACATTATTCAGTCTGTTTTCATGGCTTTCCTTTTCTTCTGTCTGGAATGAAAAAAAAATGGAAGGAGAACATCAAATATAGTGGACTCTGGTGGAGGCTACCTTGAATGGGCATCCCAGTCTGACTGCATACAAAATAATTTAGTTGCATCAAGGGTTAAGAGGTGCAGAGGCACCACAGTACAAATTTGCAAAAAAATAATAATTCATATGAGTTCATGTTCAAAACAGTAGTTGGGATAGTTAGTTGTCCTGATTATTCCATCTCATTCAACTATTCTTGACTATGGATCTGGATAAATGTTTTATTTGTAGAGCAGTCAACTTGAGGTTTCAATAGAGTGACTTTCCATAGGTTGGTCAAACTCCCACTAATTACTAATACACCTGTTTACACCTGTGCAGTGAGGTGTTTTTCTGTAGCATTCTTCTCCAGTCATTTATTTAAGCTTGAAGGATGGATGTGTTTAGTACAGTGAAAATGAGAACAGAAGGTATCTAGATGAATTGCAGTCAGCAAAACTTTCTGTGATGTCCAAGGTCAGATTTATCTTTTAATGATGACTATTTTGACCTCTGTATTGCATCCCAGATAAAATGAAAATAACTTGAAGTTTACCATAGCAGCAGGTTGCCATTGGGTCTTACTCAACAACACTGAAAGAGCTTTGTCTTCTTGGAGGTTGAGGCACAGAGCTGCAACCATAGACACAGGAGGGTGAAGGAGCATATGATACAACAAGATGGTTGAGGTGACTGATGAAACAAGGATGATGTAATCTGCAGATTTTAAATGAAACTTCCTCTCACTGAAATGAAGTGGCCAAACTGCAGATTAAGTAAACTCTTTGGGCAGGTGGAGTTATTCCATGCCAAGAATTTACATTATATTTACATTTCCCTAGATCAAACTCAAATCCTGGTGCCCATGGGCCTATCTATGTTGTTGTTCTGGCAACAATACAGATGTTTTCCTAACTTCCCACCCAGTTTACTTTTCTGTATTTTGGGGCATCTTCTTATCCAAGCACTAACCTTGCTTAGTTTTTTTCAGATTTGGCCAAAGTCAGCCTAGAGAAGCATAGAACAATACTTTGAGAGTTCAGCATTTGATAAGCAATGGCTTCAAATGCACTTGGAAGACTCTGGTGTCACTCTGTCTGAACCTTTTAGAAAAGCAGTGGCTGTTATGGGATGGGTCCCCAACTTATTCCAAAGAGCAAGAAACCATGCAAATAGCTCTACATGGATGATAATAGCTTGGAATGTTTTCATAGGAATCTCACCCAGGTGATGTAGACATGTCTGAGAATCCTATTTTCCAATTTGTGTTAGAGTCAACATGTGGAATATTCTCCTAATCTGTACTATTCTCTACATTGATCGGGTTTCTATAAAAATGACAATTTGAGACAGGAATAGATAAAATAGGAGGAAAGGAGAATGAATTAGATTAGAAAGGAAAAAAGAGTAAAACAAAATTCTTGTAAACTGAAGTTAAGTTATCTCCTTGTTTGTCAGCCCTCCCAAGTAAACCAGATAGGAGACGTGACTAGATGAACAAATTTTCCTTTATTGTAAGACTACATTAACAGAAAATTGCAACTCTGAAAGTACAAACTTTGCACCACAGCTCTTAACTGCTTGATGCATTTGGGCCGGTCCTTCCTATATTTCTTTCTCTAATTAAAGCCACTGGGGGCTCCTGCCTCTCTTGTCTGATTGCTTCCTAGGCAGCATCTATTCTCTCTTTCTCCCAGTTGTCCACATGTTCCATTACATAAATATAGCATGAACTATGAAATAACATTTCTGAATATCTTGAAAAATACCTTGCATACTCTTGCAATGTCCAAATCCCATGTGGCTGAATGTACAATAGAAGATAACCCTCTTATAATTCATACACCTGGTAGCTGAATACTCCTCTTCAGAAATGGCCCTGTTTCTAAATCCTACTGAAACTTGAGTCATATCAAGTACAATAACAAATTTGTTGCAGTTGGCATCTGAATCCCCAATATTTTATTATTATTTTTATCTCATCCAGTGAACATGAAGATACGAATAATGTTTGTTCCTTAAAACCATTTTTCTGTATGCATCAGAATAAAGTAAGAAGAAGGGAAAGCTAACAAAACATTGCAGGATAACAAAATTTCACTCCTATTCATTTCATCATTCAGCTGACCGTACCCTCATCGTAGATACTCTATATCATTCTCTCTCTTATTCACTTTTTCATCTATTGTCAGCAATTGTTTCCTAAATAAATTTCAGGTCTCTGTAAATATGCCAACGGGTAAAGTGTAAAACTCATCAGAATATGTTTCTTAAGTGGTTACTAACCAATCATCATAATGAACAATGAAGGGTGCATTCTGTGATCATATCTTAATTTTGGGATTAAAAGATAAATTATACATGGGAGAGCTATATTTTATAGGGGCCAGGAATAAAAAAGGGTGTTTTCTTTGTTTCTGCCCTTAGAAAACCATCCAAAATGTGTACAACTAATTTTTGGTATTAGTTCCTATCAACATGGATAACTATATTATAGCGTTCCTTGACTCAATACTCTTCAGCCATATTCAATAATAATGGCTAACATTACCACTGGCATTGGTTATGCTGCTGGGAATGATGAGAATTGTAGACCACTCAAAAATGATTAGACTAGGGAAGGATGCTCTATAGAACTAGATTGATGGCCACCATAACAGCTGAATGTTCAATTTGGACACCCATTTTTGTTTCAGATATAAAAGGCACCTATATTTATCTAGTGAAATAAAATTAAATAAACAATCACAGGAGTCTTCCAAAAATGTAACATATATCTAAATATGTAATACATATTTAGAATGGGGGCCTCCCATTTTTAATACACTACATTTCCATTTCTTACTCGTTTGATGTTAGAGGCTATCCCTAAGTAATGAATTCCAAGTCTATACAATAATTTACCCAAGTACTAAAATGTAGTATTTTAAACATGAAATAATGCAATTCTGTAACTTCATAATGCATTTGGCATAATTGTAAGTTTGAGAAAAGTTATATAACAAGAACACTGGATTTTGCTGAGGCAGTGAGTCTTGTTGAATAATCGTGGATATGTTACTGTTGTATTTTAATTGTGCTTTCTGAATGTGGCAGAAAAACTAAAAAGCAATCAGGCCACATAGTATTTAGCAGGTAATCCTTTAACAGCATCTTATTAAACATTAACATTAACAAATATAGTAATTCACCTAAAGTTACAGACTTTAGATTGGCAAAGCCAAAACAAAAATCTCTTAATATATAAGCACAAGATGTCCAAATCTTTTTAAATGAATAAATAAAATATAAAAATAGTCCCCTCCCAAAAAGGGAGGGGGAAAGAGAATAAAGGATTTATACTAAGGGCAGGTTCATGATGAACTGATCAACTTCTACAAACTCTTAGCAGCTATTAGAAAATGTATATAGATACACACACACACACACACACATATTTCTGCAGTTGCCTTCTGCATTGTTTCCTGTAACTTTTGTAACACTGTGCTATACCTAAAATGGTGTTAAGTGCATGCAGCATGAGGACATGTACTTATGGACATTTTAATGCATCATTTCAGAGGGGAAAAAACTGAAAGATGGCAAGGATTTGTCTTAAGAAAGTCATGCTTTGTACTTAAACCATTAATAGGTCATAATGATTTACTGAATTTACTACTCAAATGTCCCAGTCTTTCTAAAGTTTGCAATACACTAGAGAAGGGTCCAATTTGCAAAACAGATCCAGCTACTTGTATATAATTCAGTGGATTGAAATATGACTCTTATTTTCCAACACTGGAGAAATGTATAAAGCTGAGCTCCATTCTTTAATTTGTCAAAAAAGGGTAATTCAATTCCTCTTGAGCTTTTTGTGAATTCTGATCTGGATCTGAAGTTTGCAGCTTGGGTCCCATCACTAGTCTTCATTTTACTATGCAGTGAAGCCTAATTATGAACTAAGGCATTTATTTGTTTGTAGACCACCTTCGACCTTTAAATAGCTTTCCAATTTCAAAGCTCCTTAATTCTCTTCCACTCCAGCTATGAGCATAGTCAAAAAATTACCCTTCAATAGGAAGATTAATTTCATTTGATCCATAAATAGAATGGATATATTGTTAGTGCCTGTCGAAGGCACATGTTTTTGGTTTGAAGACCAGAAGCAAGGAGGGGGCAATAGAGAGAGACCTAAAAGGACATAGGGATTTCTCAATGGGATGCAAAAATTTGGAGGCCCACTGTCCCAACCAAAGAGAGTTAGAGCTTTCTGATTCTTTTTGCTGTCATCTAGTGGTCTATCAGATTGTGCAGCTTACATCTGGCAGCCTTACCAAAAACATGACACTTTGGTGCCTCCTCTGTGGAACTAAATTCATTGTGGCATAAGCATTCTTGGATGAAAGCCACTTCTTTGTATGCATATTTTAAAGTGGGCACTAGCTCAAAGAAAGCACATGCCACAACGCAGGGCTGTCTTGAAAATGCAATAATTTTTTTTCTTATCTCTCCTTCAACTCGCTACTTGTTTGTTATGTTTTTAAATTATTTTACATCAGGGCTGCAGAGTGAAATCTTTTTCAAGCACAAAATACAAGCAGCCT